AACATAGACCTCTCACCTTATTTCCCTCTTTTATCCCTATTCTATAGCAGATTTTAACATCATTTCCATTCAGTGCAATCAACATCTTCATATTCTGAAGATCAATGATTTCATCTTTCAGTTTTTTGTTGTTTTTTTTCGGTTAAGTTGAAAATTCTGAGATTGTTCATCTTCGTTGCTTGTTCTAGGGTATCGCATTTTCGTTCTATAATACTTTTCTCTTGTGATTTCCATATACAACCTGTTAATTTTACTTTCCATATCGGTTTTCATTTGAGAGAATTCAGCCTGTAGTTAAAATTTTTTTCTTCAATTTGGATAAGTTTTTGCTCCGTTGCTTTATTGACTGCTATCGATACGTTTTCACAGATGGTTTAACGACTGTTGTTTTAGACATTTGTTCACCGCTGAATTCACAGCGGATTTAATTTCTTCAGTAACATCTCTTGTGAGAACCATTTTTTGTGTCTTTTTTTGAGATGATAGCACTCTTCATTTTTTTTGGTACTGCTGCTATTAATTGGATGCACTGTATTTCACCTTTAGAAACTGTTTCAAACAGGAGCACTTGTGAACACGTCTACTCTGCTCCGCACATACGGCACAATCGAATATACAATAAAACAAAAGTTGGAAACTATATGGATCCCTGGGGATCATCAGCATTGATGGTAGAAGTATTCGAGAGAAATCCATTGACGGCCACTTGCAGGAAACGTTCTTTCAGGAAGCTGGAGAGCCATACACAAAAATGATCTGACAAGCCATAGCATCGAAGTTTGGCCAGCAAACCCACATGCCACACACGGTCAAAGGCCTTAGAAATATCAAACGCAACAGCTCTTGACTTTTCATGTTTCTCGATTGAGTCATTCCAAATATGGGTGACATACAATAGAAGGTCGCATGTTGATCTTTATTTCCGAAAGCCATATGGATGATCGCTCAAGATGTTAAAGCCTTCCAAATATTCAAGAATATATTCAAAGGCCTTAGAAATATCAAACGCAACAGCTCTTGACTCTCCATGTTTCTCGATTGAGTCATTCCAAATATGGGTGATATACATTAGAAGGTCGCATGTTGATCTTTGTTTCCGAAAGCCATATGGATGATCGCTCAAGATGTTAAAGCCTTCCAAATATTCAAGGATATAGTTATTCGGAAGATTTTTCTTGCCTTTTTTGGCAATAGGCTTAACGCGATCAATCTACCAACAAGAAGGAAAAACCCCTTTCTTGAAACACAGGTTGAAAAGTTTGAAAAATACTGGTGCGGGTTCATTTGTGTACTTTTCAGATACGATTATGAAAACTTCATCAGGACCAGACGCCTTGTGGATATCGAGCTGTTTCAAATTTCGCCTGACCAGACATGTCGAAAAGTAATATCCGGCATTGTGAATTCTAGTGTGGTAATAGTTGTTATTATTATTAAGTATCAAGAACATATTGTTTATGAACATATCTCATTGATGTTGGCAAATTGTGAAGCTGTAATTAGTTATTTCCTCTCTATTTCAAAGGATAGTGATCTCGTATACTTTCAGTTCTATGCATTTCTAATTGATGATAGTGTTAGAATTATAATGGCAGTAATTTCAAAAAATACGCACGTTGGTCCTAACTTTCATGCACATTCATCAACAAATTCTTCTATTTTTTACAAAATCATTCAGAATTAGAAGTCATTACCTGAATAGAAAATCATATAATTGATGCTTCTGTGAATTGTCGATGAAAATTATTTTTTTAATCAATAATTCGTGAATTGTTGGAACTCGTTAGACAGTAACTCAGACTTTTATTTCAGATGCGGATGCGATGAATGTGTTACCTCCCGAATGGAAGACTCTCTTCGTCACTCCAGGAGCCGAATCAATGCATATCGGGCACTTGCATCACCATCTCTGATTGCTCTTTCTTCCAAAGATCCCATCCTCACTGCATTCGAACTCTCATGGGAGTTGCGACGGTAAGTTGAAAAATATTGTTATGGGTGTGGCTTCCATGAAATTGAAGACATGTTAGTTTGAATAATGACTTTATTCATTACTATATGAATTTTGATTAGTTGTAACGCTTGGATTCAACCAACATGATCATTTCTCTGGATCTGTTCTGCAACTGACTGATATAAAATCAAATGAAGTCATACTTACACAGGCAGGTCTACTGATACAGGAAGGTCANACATAATCCTTGTAAGGAAGTTTCGGTTTCGGCCGAAACTGAGACCTTTGCCAAAATTCGGTTTCGGTTTCGGTCGTAAAAACCAGTTTTGGTCGGACACTAAGCGAAACACTCCAAGCGTTCATTTTTTTCAAATTTGTGGAATGTGGAATTCCCTTTTCACGGATATGAAAAATTACCAATAATGAGTTTCAAAATGACAACAAAAATTCATTTTCATGAATAGGAAAGTTTATAACAATCTTCATATTCATAATTTGAACGATGTTCCATACAAGAATACTGAAGAAATTACGTAATAGGGTATTTTTGGGGTTTAGTGAAAGAGAAGCCTATGACAGCACTCTTCTGGCATAGATTGAACTCAGCAATTTTCTTCAAATATAAACAACTATATTTGTTTCTGTCAATGTTCCATTTGTCTACAATAAAGACGATTATTATCATTATTATACAGAAATAGTAATTTTTTCAAATCCCAAATAAAATTAATTTCAAATCGTTTCGGTCATTTGATTTCATGTTGAGATTCGAATATGAATTTTCTGAAGCGATAGATAAAAACATATAACTTTTAAACGACACTCCAGACTTGTATTGTGCGTCATGGTTATTGCATGGAACTCACCAAAATTTTCACCAATGACAATGATAAAAGTAGTTCTACCAGCATACGTATGATAGGGGAGCGCAAGCGGGAATTTCAGAATTTACTAAAGCGCGGCAGATTAATATACAGGGGAATGCCTTGTACTCGGTTAAGTACATCCACCAAATATGAGCTTTATATATAAGACCGCCCGTGAAGGATAAAGGATCAGATTAGTAAAAAAGAATTGTTCATCAGAAATTTTCGAGCGCGTCAGATTAAGGTAGGGTGAGTTGATCACTTGCTAAAAAGTGTTTATTCCAGTAATCTGACAATTGGATAGTGACGTAAAGAAAGGGGAGGGCAGCACAGTTGTAAAAAAATAACGTAATTTCGACATTCTCGAGCGTATCTGATTTTTTTTTATTCTGAAGGAAATAATTCAAGGATAAAGAAAAATATATAATCTGACGATTTCTGCAACCCGAAATAACAAAAATTCGTTGATAAAGTTTAACGCGTGCAGCTGTATGATACCTATATTTTCCCCTCCGCGTTTCTATATCTCTTTCACTTTTGCTTTATCTATTACTCTCTAACTCCGTCCTCACCCTGAATTCTGTCGCCATGACGCCATCACAGCTGATCACAGAGACTCGTTCGTGATGAAGATAATACGAAGAAAAATCAAAGTAGACTTGAGAATTGTAAATGAACTATGAACACCAAATAACCATATACAGAAAATCTGACATGAAGATTTTGGGTACGAATATTGTACCCAAAAAACGCCCAGACAAGTCGATTTCTATTGGGAGGAGGACAGTTTTTTCCCCATTTACAGCGTCGTCACTTCAACCCCGGAGCAGAGGGGTGAAGAACCCTTGGACTTTTAATGGAGAACTGGGGGCGAGTCGCACATCGTTTGAAAGATCTTGGAATTCTCTAAGCAATAGTGTACTTTTTTTTTAAATTTGAACGAACCATATTGAATTTAAAGTTGAAGTTACTTACTTTATTCTCATGTTAGCATATGCTCAAAATGGGCACCTCCAACTTCCATGCAATAATAGAGATTCTGCTGGAAACGTTCTCGAACATTGTGGAGCATTTCTGGAGTGATTTGGCGACATTCATTTGTGATTCGTTGCCGTAAATCTTCGAGTGATGCAGGAGGA